CCTGATATGCATGTGAAAGCTGGACAGTGAATAAGGAAGACCATAGAAGAATTGATGCTTTTGAGTTATGGTGTTAGAGGAGAATATTGAAAGTGCCGTGGGCTGTCAAAAGAACCATTGGATCCATTTTGGAAGAAGTGCAGCCAGAGTGCTCCTTGGAGGTGAAGATGGCCGAACTTTGTCTCTCATATTTCACACATATTGTCAGGAGAGACCAGTTGCTGGAGAAGGATATCATGTTTGGTAAGTTGGAGGGTCAGAGAAAAAGAGGAAGGCCACCAACGAGATTGATTGGCCAAGTGGCAGCATTGATGGAATCAAGCATGGCAACAGTAGTGGGGTTGGCCCAGGATCGGGCAGTGTTTCCTTTTGCTGTGCGTAAAGTCACTATGAGTCGGTACCAATTCGATGGCACCTATCAACAACATGAGGAGGGACCAGTCCCTGGTGAAGGACATCATGCTTGGTAAAGTGAAGGATCATTGAGAAAGAGGAAGAGCCTAGTGAGATGATTGACACATTGGCAGTAACAGTGGATTCAGTGTAGCAGCATTTATTATAATGACGCAGGATCACTAGTGTGTTCTAATGTTGTACTTAGGATTGGTATGAGTCACAACTGACTCGATGATGCCTAAAAACAACATCAGCAACAATATTTTCCTTATGGAAATTGACTCAATTAAATGAGAGCTGTGTAACTCTTGATTGGGGGAGGGGGCTAGAGATGGTTCCAAGTTTAATTAATTTTGCTGTATAAAAACCTAAAGATAGGGTGTGACTGTTCATGTTCCTTATATAACAGGATAATTATTTTGTATCTATTATGTCTCATTGAAAAATTACAGTAAATATTGTGGCCTACAAGGTATTTTGAGTAGGGTTTTATTTTATTTACACTTAAGATATACATCATGAAGTGATTTTCCCCTCACTGGTTTGACAAAACAGAGAATGGTTGTCCTGTGCTGTAGTGAGGGTTGTACTTCTGTCATTACAAGGTGTTTCCTATGAGGTGGTAGTGGGTAGTTCTGCAAATATGAAATGAAAGAGTTAATTAGATCAATCTGCAATGTAAATTACAGCTGAAGTTTAGCAACTATAACAACATGCATGGTTTCTGCCTGATAAATCTTGAAAGGTAAATACCCTATCTGAGGTTGTTGCTGGAAACTGCTTAGGACTTACTCATCAGGGTAAGCTAATCATACACAACTTGATTGCCCATGTTATGCCTGATGATCATCGGCCCCCCCAAAAAAGAAAATCCATTGTCAATTTTATTTGAAGTATAAATGTTATTGTCAGACTATATAAACACATACAATAAGTATATTCTGAAGTTTGTGGTTTTAGAATCCTGTGGACATTAATAATTCCTGGGCATGTCTCAGTTTCTCTAAAGCATGTGAACACCTTTCATGTTAACAGTCTTTTTGTGTTTCTCCATTTTTTAGGTCTGTGATGGGGTCGAACAAGGAGCCAGACCTTGTGCATCTTGAGGCCAGGACTGTGGATGGCCGTAAGTAAATCAATTGTGTCAGGATTTCATGATATTAGGTCATCAATCTGGCATGGATTGAGTTTGTGTTTGGGGTAATCACAGTGGCAATAAGCCAAGCTGTTTGGGTATGAAGACTGTCTTATCGTCAGCAATTAAGAATGATCTTAATAGCGTCTAGTCTTTCATTTACATTAAGTACACACATAGAGTCTACCTAGATTATTCGTGGATTCTGTATTTGCAAATTTAATTACTTGTTAAAATTTATTTGTAACTCCAAAATCAATACAAATAGCATTTTCACTGCTTTTAGTGGGCCTGTTCATTCACAGAGCAGCAAAATGTTTAGCTGTTTAATGCACACATTCCCAGCTGCGTTGCTGAGTTTGAGGAAGGCTATTGTACTATCACTAATTCTGCCTTTGCAGAGACTGTACAGGATGACAAGTGTTGTAAAGAACAAGAACTGGCCATGTGTGTTTAGATAACAGTGACGTTAGCTCAGCCGTCATCCAGTCAAGGTGGTTGCAGGTGAAAAGAGAATTCCCAAGTTGTTGATTTCTAAAGAGTTGTGCTGTATTTGTTGTTATTCCTGTTGTCATTTCAGTTCGGTTCTTTGGGCTTCTTACTTTATCAGATACCACCTAGGCACTGCCTCCCTGGTTCTGTTTGGGAATTCACAAAATACTTGGACAAAGCCAGAGACATGAGAATCTGCTGGTGTGTCTCCCGTTATGAGCAGCAGGAGGGGGGAAACCAGTGAAAGCATTTGCATGGCCTTGGGTCTTCAGCAGTTCTTAACTATTTCAGGTGGGCTGTAAAGATTTACACCCTCGGAAACCCTGTACAGGGTCGCTATGGGTCGGACCCGACTCGATGGCACTTAACAACAACAACAACAACAAATCCTCATGAAGGTCTAGATTCTATGGAAATTGCAACTTTAGATATATTATATAAATCTTAGCTCCTGAATTTTGACCTTCATTGCCTAATTACTTTACTGATGGTTTGACCTTGGAAAAGCAAACCCATGACACCACAGGTTGTTTATTTATTAATCAAATACATTAGTAATATTAATTACTGTAGTGGTTCACATTTATTGTACCTGCACTTTATGTACATGATAACAATTATTCCTCTTGACAACTCTGTAGGCTTTTATCCCCATGTTAAAGATGAAGAAACCAAAGTGAAGGTTTAGTAACTAATTTAAGATTGTTGTTAAGTGCTGTCGAGTCGGTTCCGACCCATAGCGACCCTGTACAGGGTTTCTGAGGGTGTAAATCTTTACAGGAGAAGAAAGCCTCATCTTTCTCCCACGGAGCGTCTGGTAGTTTCGAACCGCTGACCTTAAGGTTTGCAGCCCAATTCATAACCACTACGCTATATGGTAAAAATTAAATGATGGTAGTAGTATCTACCTCATAAAAGCCATCTGAGTGGGAACTAGATAAACCAGTGCATATATAACACTGTGTTGTTGTTAGGTGCCATCGAGTCAATTCTGACCCATAGCAACCCTGTATAGGGTTTCCGAGAAGCAGCTGGTGAGTTCAAACAGCTTTGCAGTCTGGCGCATTAACCCAAAGATGCCATAAAACACTATAGATAGTGCCTAATCTGTAACTTATTTAAACAACAGTGGCAATGGACATTTTCTTCTCTTGTTTGGATACTAAGAATCCTCAGAAGGGCGGGGCAGCTAGAGGGTTGTTGTTGTTGTTAAGTGCCCTCGAGTGGATTCTGACCCATAGCAACCCTGTATAGGGTTTCCAAGGAGCAGCTGGTGAGCTTGAACCACCGACCCTGCAGTTCAAACTGACTTTGCAGTCTGGCGCATTAACCCACAGTGCCACACCAGGACTCCACCTAGAGGGTACAGACGGTATAAGTAAACCTAAGCCAAAGGCATTACTAAGAGAGATCAAAGAAAAGGAGAAAAGGGGAAACACCAGGAAGAGAAAGGGATGAAGGAGACAAAAGACAAGGAGAAAAAAAGAGGTTCAAGCACAGAGGACAGGAAGAGAATGGACTGCTTGCAAATACAGCAGAGTCAGTGAGACTGTTTGTAGTGCTGAGTCAGAGTGGCATTTGATTTTCTAAGACATCCCTGTTTTCAAAATCACCCTTAGAATTCGTCAGCCTCACCACAGCTTGTCTCTGTACACTTGCCTTCCTCTCTCCTGAATACAAAGGCAGCAGATGTCTGCACTTTACCAGTTTAAAACTGAAAGAATCAGATCAGCCCAAATACTACAGAAACCACTCCTACTCCACTGCTATGCACACACCTTACAGTTTATTATTTTGCTTTGTTTTTGTCTCTAGAGACTTTTGTTCCCCGTTGGAGAATGAATATATTCTTTGGCGGAGTCAGTGAGAGACAGATCAGGATTCAAGCTGACCATCACCTTCTTCCTCTGTAAACCAGGGCATGGCTACCACGCTGGCCTGACACAGAATAAACTAAAGAATACTCATGCTTTCCCCATCTCTTCAATTGCACTCTTGCTGTCAATAATCCTTCTGTGGTCCAGGAGTAGATGATGCTGTCTTGAATTTCGACAGGAAAACAGTCTTGTTCTAAATCAAAACTAATCTTGTTACCTGTTTAAAACTTATGTTTGCTTTTCATGGCTTTGATGATAAAGACCAGAAGTTTCATCTCTCTCTCTCTCTCATAATCTGGTGCCTCCCTCTTCTTCTCACACCTTGCCTGCAAGTGACTGGCCTTTTATTTTTCACCTCTTGGAACATAGAGTTCTGTGTTTTACTGCAAGAGCCTACCTGTAATACCCTCACCTTTTCCCCTTACCTGGCTAGTTTAGTGTAATTAATCACTTGAGAAGGACTATTAGTGTGACGCTGTAGGAGCAGCAGTGGACTGAGAACCACAAAATCAGCAGTTCAAACCCATCAGCTGCTCCTTGGAAACCCTATAGTGGGTCACTAGGAGTCAGCACTTTAGATGGTTCAGGCTTCAGGTCAACCTTCTGATTCTTCGGGAGACTCTTTCTGAACTCCCAATCCAAATTTGTTTTATTTTGTTTGTTATCATTGAATTCTTACCTTAGTTTAAAATGGTGTATTCGGTTTGTACAACTATTTGATTGCACCCTTTCCACCCGACCAGTCTTAGAGTTCTAGGAGAGCAGGGGCTACACTATTTACTGAACATTGTATCTCCAGCACACCCCATAGTGCCCAGTGTTGTTGTTGTCAAGTGCTGTCAAGTCAGTTCTGACTCATAGTGACCTTGTATAGGGTTTCTGAGGAGCGGCTGGTGAGTTTGAACCACTGACCTTGTGATTCAAACCAAACATGTGATCCAGTGCTTATCCTGCAGTGCCACACCAGATGGAGCTTAACAAGTATGTATTGGATGTTGTTATTAAGTACCGTGGAGTCGGTTCTGACTCATAGTGACCCTGCACAGGGTTTCCAAGGCTGTAAATCTTTACGGGAGCAGAAAGCCTCATCTTTCTCCTGCAAACAGCTGGTAGTTTTGAACTGCTGACCATGAGATTAGCAGCCCGATTCGTAACCACTATGCTACCAGAGCTCCCTATGTATTGGATGAGTGAAGATAAATCTGTATTTGACTGACCATCAGTCACCAGCTGGCTACTGTTACAACCTCAGTTATTAGGTGCCCTGGACATTTTAGATCAATGCATCTCAAATTTTGATGTGGTCTTATTAAAATGTGGATTCTGATTCAATAGGGGCCTGTAATTCTATATTTCTAACAAGCCCTGGTTGATACCGATGCTGCTGGCCAGTGGAACAAGCTTTGAGTAGCAAATTCCCACAAGGGAAAACTAATAAAAGAGCTTTAGGGACTCTCTCCTAAGACTATACTTCCTGTTTAGAAAGCTCAGGGTAGAATTGGTTGCATCCTAGACTGCTTTCATTTCCCAGCTTTGAGAGATAATGTTGTTTATTGGCATGTGACATCGTCCATGGATCCCAATGTCCTAAAACCCATAAGGCCATTGCTTTCCCCACTGTGTATGTGGTCTTACACCTAACATCATTCCTGTGATCCCTGATGGCATGGAAGTTGACAATGCCAAACTGTCATCTCAGGTTCAGCTTTCACGAGGCAAAAAATATATCCATTTTAAATTTATTTATTTTATTTTACTTTTTTGCAAAGGCAGCATCTTCAGAAACTATTCAAGGGTGAAAATTCAATAAAGGGATTTAATTTGAGAAGTTATCCCTGTCAAACAGAACAGAAAAAAAAAAAAATTACCTACCAATTGAATTAAAGGATCTGAAGATAATGCCTAACCTTGGTATAAAAAAAGTGAGAATGTCTCAATAACATAATAGCTATTTCTTTCTCTTTCCAGAAAGTCAGTAACCATGGCTCCAGGTTAAAGGAATAGAGAGAGGAGGAGGGAAAGAAAGAGCAGAGAGGTCAGAAAAACAAGGTATTAGCAAATACAGCTAGCAAGATTCAAAAGTGTATTTATCATAATCAGCTTCATCTGGGACAGTTTCTCCAAGAATTCCAGTAGCTGCAGAATCTCCTTCTCCCACTTCCCTGATTGATAGCCTGCTCTTGCTTCCCAACTCCCTTATTTACTGTTGTTGTTGTTGTGTTGCCGAGTCAGTGCTGACTCTAGCGACCCTGTATAGGGTGTCTGAAGAGCAGCTGATGGGTTTGAATCACCAACTTTACTTATTCAACAGCACCACACATGGACTCCTGTTATTAGAATTTAAAAAAAAGAAAGAAAGAAATGTTTATATTCTCGGCAATTTCTATTCTAGTTATAATATATTATTTATATTCTAGGTAATACACCTCATACTATAATGTGCTAGAATAAAACTTGTGGCTCTAAAACAAGAATTTTTTTTCTGGATTTAATATGTTCAGGAATGTCACAGCCAAGACACTGAGGCATTGTTGTTGTTGTTAAGTGCCGTCAAGTCAATTCCAACTGATAGCCACCCTGTACAGGGTTTCCGAGGCTGTAAATCTTTACGGGAGCAGAAAG